GATTTAATGTGATATTTTCACTAATAGGGACACCAATAAGTAGATTTTATGCAATAATGTTTGATAAATTTCTTAACAAAATTTGAATATAAGGACTAAATTAAGATTTTTTGAAATTACAAGGACTAAAAACAACAATTTTAAATTTGAGGGATCAAAAATAGATTTACCCTAAATTTGAGGGACTAAAAGCATATTTAAGCCTTGTAAAAATTTATATCACATATTAAAAACATTTTTATATGATAAATAAATTAAACTTAATTTTTATAAGATTTAACATATTTATTTATATGTTTTTATTAGTGTTAAATTATTATTAAGTAGGTTTTTAAGATTGTTATGTAACCAAATATTTTAAAAACGTCTATGAAAGATAAATATATAATATTTATAACATGTATTGGAGTTATCCAGTTGCTTAAGTTAATTTCATATTCAATTTTGTCAAAAAAAAGTTTCATATTCAATTTGGACACTAAACAGTTTCGCATTCATTAATTTTAAAAAGTGAAAGCAATAAAAATGAAAATAAATAAAAAATTGAAAAGGGACAAACATACTTGCCCAATACATGCATTAATCAGCCTAACGATCTGATTATACTTTGATTAAATAAATTGTGTAACTAATGGTCGTTTATATGTCGCTTTTGTTTCAAATTATAAATTATAAGCATGATAATCTTACATCAAATTTCTACCTAATAGTATACCAGATAACATGATTACAAAAAAAAATAAATAAATAACTATAGTATATTGATAACATAATAAAAGTATTCACCTCCATTCCTCGCTTTAGTTGCGGATGGAGAAAGAATTTAGTTTATAACGATATAATATTTTGGTGTACTTATTTTTTTTAATGACATTTTTATTTCTATAATTATTCTTAAATTACTCAATTCTCTATTATAAATTATCACTATTATGTAATTTCCTCTGTTAATTTTATTTCTTATTTTTCTTTCTGTAAAAATAGAGGCAACTAAAGAGAATTGTGAGAAGAAAAAAAAAGTGAGATTGATTCAAGTAATTTATTAAAAAAAAAAATAGACGAAAGCAAGAAGCGTCTTTTTTATATTATGCTAGCTTGTATAAATATAATATATAACAATCTAAATTAATAATAAAAGATATATTTATTTACATTTTCTTGATTTATTATTTCTATAAATACCTCTTTCATATATATTTTTTATTTGTTTTTATTTTATTTTATTGTGAATATGTAATTTTCTAAAATTTTACCAATATTTATTAGTTCAACTAATACCACAATTGATCTTTAAGTTTCAAGATCTTGAATTCAAGTTTTAAATTTGATAAAAGAAAATTATGCTGAGAGAGATAATTGTTACGATTTTTAAAAAAGATTAATCTTTAATAAAGTCACATGATACTTTCATCAATATCATGATATCAAAAATTTCTTACACTTTTTTTCATTACCAAAGAGTATACCTCGTCGAATATAAGAACTAATCTTTGAATATCTTTTTTTATCTGGAGTATTCTTTGTATTCACAAAAATCAAAATTCGATCCCTAATTTCTTGATTAAAGAGCATGAATTTCTTACTATTTGTTCTAATCCAAATTTAGCTTCTAACACTCTTTTAAGCAACTATCTACTTTATATTTTTTTAAATAGACTTTCTCCCTTGTAATGATAAAAAAAAAAAAAATCATTTCGATTTCCACATTTATTTATTTTACTCTTTATTTACACAATATAACTGCTTATACTTTTTCCCAATTTCTTTTAAATCTTCATTTTCTATCTTTTTTCTTCTTAACTTCTCAGTTACCATAACTGATTGTTTGACCAAAAAATCCAGTTTCTATTCTTTATTTAATCCTCTTCTTTCCAATATTAACTCACCATATCCTTACATTTATTCATACAAACTAAAACAGCAGATAGGCTTGGATTCCTCCATTATTGATAAAGCGCAGACCGCAAAGGCATAGAATTAAGTGGCAGGAGGCAGATTCCATGACCCCAGTTATATGGGCCAATTTTAGGCCCAATGGTTGAAATTTGAATCTTTTTAGCATCTACAACGGAGTAGTGTTGAGGTAGGTTAGGGTGGGGTTAATTTACATAGGTCCAAGGGATAAAATAAAGAATAATGGTTAAGAGGCTCAAAATGGGTTCTCATCTTAGATACCCTTTTGGATAACAAGCCAAACGGTTGGTATTTTATATGCTAGTATGTGTTATGTGTATGGTATAGGATGAAGCATAACAGAGGAAGAGGCTCAAAATGGGTTCTCATTCTAGATACCCCTTTGAGGTAACAAGCCTAATAATAGATATTTATATAGTAGTACTAGTATGTGACTATGCCTATGTGTATGGTATGGATTTCATTTCACATTTCAGCAGTAGAGAGAGAGTGTGTGTAATAGGTGTATGATGATGATATTAATCAAAGTTGAAATCTGTAAGTGGGGCTATTTATTGAGTAGCTTAAGAGCATAGGATGCGGGGGAGACAAAGCAAGTGCCAAAGGAAAATGCAATCAAGTAATATAAGAGAGTGAGCCACACTGGTGTGGTGGATGGTACCTATGTCCGGTTCAACTGAAAAGGACTTGTGACTGAAGTCAAGTCCAACGTAACAAACTTCATTGCATTATTGGGCTCGGGCCCTGGGCCCATATTGCCATTTTGTTTTTGCCAACGCTGTCGTTTGGGGTTGTGGAGTGATACGACGCCGTTGCATTGGAACTGGGTAACTTAATTACATGTACGTCCCATGCATTTTTTAGTTGAACCAAACCAATTGTGTTGGGGTCCACACGTGGCCAAGTGAGGTTGATAATTAATGCAGCTAGTAGAGAGACCCGTCACATGACACATGTATGTATGTATCCTTCAGAGTTCACACAGTTCCTAGCACACTGTGCAGCTTTGTTCACGTGGGCCTTACTTCCTTGCCTTGCCTTCCATTTCATGTCATGGTTATTGGTTGATCTAATCTCATTATCATCATCATCATCACCACCGCCTTGGCTCTCTCTTTCACTGTCTCTGAACCCTTCAGTGAGACATATGCTGTAGCTCATTGGTATGGTTATTGGTTAGTTGGTGAGTGGAAAATGAGAATTGGTTTGGAGTTTGGACACTTTGTTTTTATCTTCGGTGGAAGCTTCATAGTTTGTGCCAGCTAATCTCATTCACTCCAATAAACTATTCTTTTGCTGAAAAGTCGTTTCTTTCCTTTTTGTGCTTTTCCTTCTCAATTATTTTATGAACTCCAACTCTGTCTGCTCCGCTTCATTCAACTTTGGCTCTCACTGGAAAGTAATGGTACTTAAATGTCACTAAAAGTTAAAGTGGTCTTTGGAAGTATGATATAGGTGTGGTGTGATCTACAACCCCTGGAATTTGCTCACTCTTTTGCTTGCTTTGTCTTTGATGATTGGGGCTATCATTTAGGAGTTTGCACAAGTACAAAAAGCAGATAAATGATGCCCTTACAGTGGAAAGGTGAGGTAGAAACTGAAGTTAAGGAGAGAATCTGAGAATGAGTGCTCTCTCACTCTCACACCACATGCACATGTCCCTTTATGCCTTTACTCATAATTTACTGCATTTTTTCCAAGTCTTCTTTTTGTCCCATTGTGACCATTTTTACTCCTTTTGCCATTATCATTGAGATCCGCAGAATTATTTCCCCCACTGCTGCTTCTTTGCAGGACATGCCTCTGTGTCTTTGAGGATTATATAGGGCTATGGCTGAGTATTAATTTTTCTGTTGTTGCACCAATTTTTGAAGACAAGGTAAACCCATTTATCCTTTAGGTTGTTTGACACTAGAGATTGATTCTTTGTTTTTTATTATTATTATTTTCTTTCAAATATATCTGATTTGTTGAATCCTCAGTAAATCAATTTATTTTTGTTGAATTCCTGTGCTTTTGGAGTTATTGTGAATTGTCTTTATGTTGGTTCCGTGTATTTATGCGCATAGTTTTTGTTTGTGGATTTTTTTTATGCCTTTTCTCTTTGCTATGTAAGCAGATGGGGGAGACAGCGGCTTCCAATCCTGCTTTGCAAGTGTCTGTTTCGTTTGGTAGATTTGAGAATGATTCCTTGTCTTGGGAGAAATGGTCTGCTTTCTCACCAAATAAGTACTTGGAAGAAGTTGAGAAGTGTGCCACTCCTGGATCAGTTGCTCAGAAGAAAGCGTACTTTGAAGCTCATTATAAGAACATTGCAGCCCGGAAAGCTGAATTGCTGGCTCAAGAGAAGCAGATGGAAAAAGATTCTTCTGGATCACAATATCAAAATGGTGAAAATCTGAGCTGTAACACTTGTGGAACATATGCAGACTTTGATATGTCCAATAATCAAGGTTCTAGTGAAGGGGCCAAGCAAGAAATCACTTCAATTGGTGAGATCATTGGGACTGATGTGAGTAATTTGGAGGAGGAGGATGCAGTTTCAAGAGATTATCAAGATTCATCAGTCGAGGGTGAGAATGTAGAACTGGAAAGCAAATCACGTAGTTCCTGGATAGATAAGCATGAAGAAGTTGTCTGTGTTGAGCAAGAAGGAAGTAAAGAAGAAAGTCCTAACATTGAAGCTGAAGATGTGAAGGAAATTTCACACAATGTGAACGAAGATACTGCAAAGAAAATTGAAGCAAAAGATGTGACATTGGATCATCCAAAGGTATCTAAGAAGGTATGCATTAATTCTTGTATTAAACAAATTTATGATCATTGGAAAATTTGAGTGGTTAAAAAATAATTAACACCACATAAAATTTGGCCATTTCTTTACCCCGTATTGTATTTTTAACCATCTAGTTTGGACAGGTTACTCCTCTGAGCAGAGAGAGCAATGCAGCAAAGGTGAAGAAGAAATCGGTGCTCCTTTCATCTAAGCCTATGTCATCCCAAATTTCCACCCCTAGAAGTTCAAAGCCTACATCGACTCCCACCAAAACATTGGCATCTGCCTCTTCAATTAAAAGAGGAAACTCTTCATCAATATCTGGGAGGAAAATTACTTCAACTGTGGAGAACAGAAAAGTTCCAAATAAATCTTTGCACATGTCCCTTAGCTTGGCTCCAAGCATACCTGATCCTGCTCCTGCTACGCATACTACAATGAGAAAATCTTTAATTATGGAGAAAATGGGGGATAAGGACATAGTCAAACGAGCATTCAAGACATTCCAGAACAATTTCAATCAGCCTAAAACTTCTGGTGAAAACAAACCTTTGGTAAAAGAAAAGGTGTTTGGAAAAGCACGGATAACTGTTTATTGTTCATAAATGATTATGTGTACCGGTAGAAAATCTCTCATTTGGGAATGTTTGCTTATATTTTTCTTGAGCAGGTTTCTTCAAGGTTGGCAGAGCCAAGGAATCCAACATCTATAGCTTTGCGAATGGGAAATGGACAGTAAGTTTTTGAATCTGCATTATTGATGTGTTTCTTATTAGCATCTATTTCACATCCTGTTAGAATAGTGGATTAAGCCTAACTCAACCCTACAAAACCGGCTTGTAAGGTGAGGGTTGCTTTCCACTTATATACTATTCAATTGCCTAATCTCTAGTCGATGTGGGACTTGGGTTTTTCCCAATACACCCCCTCACGTCCAGCATTATTGGGCTTGGTACGTGGATAAATGGTGGGTGACCCTTTTTAATGATCTAGGATAGGCGGGACTTGGGTTTTTCCCAATACACCCCCTCATGCCTATGAGACATGCATCAATGGTAGGTGGCCCATTTTTAAAGTGGATCTAAATGGCTTTGATACCATGTTAGAATAGTGGATTAAGCCTAACTCAACCCTACAAAACCGGCTTGTAAGGTGAGGGTTGCTTTCCACTTATATACTATTACATCCTTGATGTATTTCATGTACCTTTGTTCTTAATCTCTTTGATTCTGATAATTTATCTCAACCTGATTTTGAATATGGTTGCTTGCTTAAAACTATCATCTGTTTAGGGACAAAATTTTTGTTGACTTTTTGTGTGAGAAGAAAGAATAGATAAATATGAATGAGGAAGCATAAACAGTTAATCATCATGTGGAAATATTTTGTGATAAATATGGAAAAATTGAATCTTGATGAGAAATTGAAATTAAAATTGAAGATGAAAAATTGTTATTAAAATTCATTGAAGAGGATGCTTATGTATAGGTTTACAATCAATTTAAAGTCTCTAATTTTTCTCATCAAAACAAAATATAAAAGATAAAGTTGTTGCAATAATAAATATCCTATCTAACATTTATTCAAAATTCAAATAAAGGAAAATCTTATAAATCTAACACTTCTCCTTAAGATTTGCCATGAACATTTCAAACTTTAGTTTCATGAACTCTAAAACTTAATTTTAGAAGTGCTTCAATCACCATGTCAGCAAGTTGTTGCACATTAATTTCTTGACCTAAATCATTGTCATCATAGTCATGCAATTTAACTCTTTAAATTCCATTTTGGGATTTGTCATATCAAACATTACTCATCAATTTTAGGAATAAAACCATAATCTTCAATTAAATCAAATTTCAAATAAAAACTGTTTTTGATTATCTTAATCTTTACAATCTTTAATCAATTTCATCCATGATAAAACAATAATTCTCTTTAAAAGAGGCTCCATATTCATTCCTTAGCATTTGGTGAACACTAAAAAGATTTTGATCAAATTATGGAATGTAAAGAACATCTTTGACAATTATCATACCTTTCTTGGTTGATATGGAAATTGTTCCTTTTCCTCTAGCTTGCACAATTTCACCATTTCTCATCTTGACTTTTGGTTCAATTGGTAAAAAATGATAGACATTTGGTCATGTGACTGGTGCAGCCACTGTCAATGAGTCTAGCATTCAATTTATGTGAATTGAGTTCTTGAGATGCCATAAACAAATACTCATCTTCATCATCATTTTTTTTGCAATCACATTTGCCTTTTTTTTGGTTGATGCTCCGATTGTTCTTTAATATGCAATACTTTTCACCGAAAATTACAATGAAAAAGAGGTTAATCTTTGTGCCAACAATCTTCTTTAGCATGGTTGGTTCTTTGGCAAAAAGAACAACGCAAGCAATTTCCTTTTCTCGAAGAACCTTCAACTTTCTCTTTGTTGTTATTGAAAGGCCATGACTTTCCAAATTCCTTCCATTGTGCTTTTCTCAAAAGGCACCTTCAATAAAATCATCACTTTTCATTGAGACTCTTTGCATGAAGCTTGCTTTGTGAGAGTTTGGAAATCACAAGACTTTTTAATTGCAGAAATCTTGGCTTCAAACCTTTCATGTAACGAAACGATCTTTTTGACAACCTTCTGTCTCTAAATGATGTTTCACCAAGAAGTCGCAATTGGTTCACAACATCCATTAACCTGCCAGAATAATCTTTAACATATTCATGATCCTAGTTTATATTGTTTTGGTAAATTGTGCGACATCAAGAAAAGACAAAAATCCAAATGTCGGTCGAAGTACATGCTTCAACTTCCAAGCTTTAAACAATTGCAAACTACTAATTCTTTCCCTTTTGATTTCATCTACCATTAAATTTCTGATCTACAACTAACAAAGGTGGCTTCGCTCTTTAGAGGCTCAAATGCAAATCTTCTCAAGTTGTATTGGCTAATCTGGTCCAAGAACTTGTAGATTTCGCTCTTTAGAGGCTCAAATGCAAATCTTCTCAAGTTGTATTGGCTAATCTGGTCCAAGAACTTGTAGATTTAATTCCATTGCAATATGAAAATCTAAAGCAGATGCACCAGTAGATCTTGTCGCTGTCTGCATACATCTTTCAGCTTAGCAATACATTTGAACTGGTTACCAACTGTCTGTTTTGTTGTCTTACAATGGAATTAAATCCACCAGTTCTTGGACCAGATTGGCCAATATAACTGGAGAAGATTTGCATTCTAGCCTCTGAAGAGTGAAGTCGCCTTTGTTAGCTTTAGTTCAGAAATTTACTAGTAGATGAAATCAAAAGGGAAAGAATTGGTAGTTTGCAATTGTTGAAAGCTTGTAACATTGAAGCATTCACTTCAGCGGACATTTGGATTTTTGTCTTTTCCTGAAGTCGCACAATTTACCAAAACAGAATAAACTATAGCATTTTAGATATAGGATTGATGATTACTAGGGAGTGAGTCATGTTGATACAAAAAATGGAACCTCTAGACTGGATTATGAAGTTCACTGTTTCATACTTTCATAAGGATCACCATTTTCCTATGGTATCTAGTTCTAATTCTTGTTTCTATCTTTATTTCTTGTACTTTTCTTAGTTCAACCAATTTTCATTGAAATAAACCAATGTTTCATAAAATATTTCCAACATTGATATCAAGATCTTGCTTCCTAAGGGCTGTGGGGAAAAAATTTAAATAAAGAAAAATCTCAGAAATCTAACGATAAGTATTGTATAGCTGAAATAAGTCATGGTTTTACATTACATAATTTACTTATAACTTGATTTGTTCAGTAATATTCTCGGTTACATATAATTTAGCCATATGACAGTATTGTGAAAACAATTGAAACAGCCCTCATTTTGTATTCAACTGGAATTCCCTTCTACTGCCAGATTTGGTGCAACATGCTTTTGCTTGTCAGTGTCTATCAATTTCTGATTTCAGATTGTTAAGTTATCCTATTAACTATAAAATTGAGTTATTAACTTATGCCCCATCCTTTTAACACCAATTATAGAATAATTCTGTTTTCCATGTTGCAACGACACTTATACCAAAGGCTTTTCCTTCTCTTAGAATGTGTGGTCTAACTTAATTCTACAAAACTGACTTGTTAGATTAAAGTTACCCTACACTTATAAATTCTTTTTTTGTCTTATCTCTAATCTATGTGAGACTTAGGTTTTTCACAATACCCTCTAAGGGTAGCACAGTGCTGTAAAGTGCTCACTGTGAGTGTTGCACAACCATGTGTGTATATTAGACAGCTTGACCTTTTGCAGGAGGCAGATTCTTTGACTCAAACATGTGACCTCGAAGTCACAAGGCAACAATTTGAATCATTGTGCTGAGGCTCTTCTTACCTGCCTCCCCCTCCTTTCCATATCATAATTTATAATGTTGAAGTAAATCTTTTTTTCCCTATTTTTGGGTTGAGGGGGAAGTCCTACCAAGATGGGCCCAAAGAGACCCCACAAGGAAGGGGATGGGGGAAGGGGTGTGTGGACTGCATTGCTTGGTGTAAACCTATACACTCTTCTTGCATGTCCCATAACTCTATCAAGTGAGCTGTCTCAACAAGACCATCTATTGAAGTAAAACTTAGATATAGTAAAAATATGAAACAAGTTTAAACCATGGTTGGATAGCTATTAGCAGGGAAGGAAGAGAATGGGTTTCTGTGATTGAGGGAACATGAAAATCATCAGCCATACTTACTCAGGAGATTGTGACGCCTTCCTTCCTTATAGTTATCAGAACATATACCATGAACTATATTTTGATGAATGTATAAGGAGTTCAATTGCTTGTAAGCTGATGCTTTTGAAGTTATTATTAAATAGGTCACCTAAGGTTGACAGTATGGATAAAAGAAGTGGGAATGCTGTTCGAACTACTTATGGCCTAAAATGTGACGTTAAAGCAGAGAAAGGAAAAGAGGTGTGGACTGACTCTTGATGCATGTCTATACAATCCAGCCCCTGTGATTAGGGGTTCTCATCAGATTTTGAAATTACTGTATTATTTTTACTGACAAAACATCTCTTGTGTTTTAATCAGTCTCCAAGAAAAATAGATGAAAAATTTAATGCAAAAGAGGTAGAAAGAACGCATATTCAATTGAAATCAAAGGTACTCTTTTCTTCTCTTGCTATCACTTACGTGTATCTGCATATATTTTATAGTGCATTAGAGATTCTTGTTTAAAGATAGTCAAACAATAATTGTATAGATTGGGTTACCATAAGTTATTAGCTCTCTAATGCTATTAGTATTTTATATAATATGCTTAAATGGCATGTCCTAACATTGCATTGTTTTCGTTCGACATAGGAGGAAAAGATGCAACATAAATCCAAAGCCACACCCTTGCCAGCTTTTCACCGGGGTCAAAAAGTATCAAAAAGTCATCCAGAGAAGGTATGTTATGCATTTTAAATTTTATCATTACCAGGTCAACAAGTAGGGTGAAGACTAACTATAGCAAATATTTTCATATACGAATAGTAGTTTGTTAGACTTTTTTCTGGCATTTTTTTCTATATGCTTAATATTTTTTTAATTGTAGTCAGTCAAAACTTGTGTTTTACAACTTAATAGTATGGGGATTATAGGAAAGTAAGGGAGCATCAGTGTAATATAGATGTCTTATTTAACTCTAAAAAGCGAACCTGTTTTCTGCCAAATGAGCATAGTGATTCATAGTTGGTGGTGGGTCACACAAGAGATAATGATGAAAGTTCATATGGTCCACATTCCACATTTAATATCATTTCAATGATTACACCACCCGTAGAATATTAGTGTTTGCTAAAATATTTTTCTTTTTCCATCAAGTGGTCTAATAATGCCCCTATGTTTTCTTAAATTCAGTACAGCAAAAATTGTCTTTTCCCCTTGGTTGGGGTCACTTCAATTAAAATATGCCATTATGTAACTTGTGTTACAAAGGGAAGATCTAAAATATAATGGAAGATCTAAGAGGCATTGGAGTTATTTTCCATTCCGATTTAATTTTCTTAGATTACTCCCATTATAAAACTGTATTTACTATGTTCCGTTAGGAAGTATTTTCTCAATAATTCAAATTGTATTTTGTCAACAATGGAGAAAAGTCTGGTATATTAACTGCTATTTTGTCTTGTATGCTTATGCAGGTTGATGTCAAGGTTGGGAAATGGCGGTAGGCCCTTAAGAGGTAGAATCAAGTGAAGATGAGATTAAATACATCAGTGGGCGTGTCAGATCTATGTGTTCAGAGGAAATGTTTATAGCTACAACTCTAGTCACACTATGAAATTTTAGTTTAGTCTGCAACAGGGGAACAATTATCTAGTTATAAGGACTATAGGAGCTTATGAACGATGTGAGGAAGGAGTAAGGGGAGTAAAGCATCAATTATTGATAATAAATTTTTCTTTTGAGAAATAATATTGTATAACTATAATGTCTAATGTGAGAAAAGTACGCATTTCTTTTAATTGGTTGCACACTTGCACTTGCATCATTTCCATTCTGTGGGATCTTTGTATTTAATTTTGGGTGAGATCAAGGGAGGTACTATTGGGACCCAAGAGAAAATGGGGATGTGGATTGGGGAGAGGGATGGAATCTCTAACCCATAACTTCGGTTCCCCGGCATTGTTTTCAAGCTAATAATACCTAGGCATGGCAACGGGGCGGGGCGGGGGCGGGTTTTACGTCCCCCGCCCC